CGGGCGGACTCCGGGTGCCACAGAGCCCGGCCAGCCGCGGCAACGGCGACGCGCGGGGCGGGAGCGCTTGGCGGACCCCGCGACCCCGAACGAGCGGGTGCCTGGAGCGGGCAGCCCGGCCGGGGGAACCAGTGGCGGCCGAAACGGCTGGGCTTGGGTACCCCTCGCGCAGAGCTCCATGCCGGTGTGGTGCTGCCGATGCTCTCTGGCCGGTCATTTCAGGTGACTTCTCCGCTGGGGACGGGAGGGGAGCAGGCTGGGCGTGGAGCGCTGTCGGGCCCCGCAGCCCGGCCTGGCCGGGATGGAGGGCGAGCGCCTGGACCGCCGTGTGCTGCCGCCGAGACCCGCCTCGGCAGCCCGGGTTCGAGGGGTGTCCCTTCTCCGGGTGCCTCGTTCCTCTCCTAAGATCTCACCGGTCGTGGGACTGCGAGACCAGCTAGGCCCTGCCCGAGTCGGTTACTGCGGGGAACTGAGACTCCCAAATTGTAACAAAGTTTTAGCGAAAGGTTTCGCGAAGGGTCTTCCTTCTTAAAAAAATAATCTTTTAAGAACATAATTATGTGTTGAACGAAGCTAGGAAACTAGGTTTTAGTGTCGTCATCTGGTTACAAATAAGTTCTGACTTAAGATGTTAGTCATTTTAAGCCGTGTATATTGTATAAATTTGAAAAATGAGGCTATTTTACACTCAAAATTGTGGGGAAAGTTTTTAGGCGTGACAAGGATAGTGCAATTTTAAAATAAGTACATGCATAGTTCTTAGACATATAAAAAATGTATTTAGTAGAGCAAGCACAGTTGGGCAACACTTGAGTTACAAAAGGAGACCAAAGACGCTAAAAACTGTGGTTTTCAACTGTGGGGTGAAGAAATTTCAAGCTTAAAGAAGACTTTAGTACCTTGTTTTATAGATATGAATGTTCCAGAATGCTGTGTAAAACTTCTGTTACGGTAAAATATGAAACTCAGATTAAAAATTCTTAAATAGGAATTCATAGGTAGAAGTTAGGTGGGCTAGGAACTTGGATAGAATGAAAGGTATATTATTGTCACTAAATTTTAAAAAGCTAACATTTCCTTTACTTATGAATCTGAGCAACAAATTACAGTAGTCTTTGTGACTGTCCTCAATAGAAATCACAATTATTTTCATATCACATTACAGTTGCAGACACACCCTCTGTTTAGAAATAATTTATGCTTATCATTTCTTAAACATCACAGTAATTACACATCACTGTTTTTAATGCATAAAGAGGCACACACATATATACATGGCAAGTCTATATTTTATAACCGTATTATATAATAGATTTCTTTGTAAATCCTATATATATTTTATAATATTATTCAGATAAGAGGTCCAGAGTCTTAACAAAATTGTAAACGGGATGTAAGGCACAGAGAAAAGTTCAGAACACCTGTTGTAATGTCAAAAATCCAGGCTTGTCCAGCTTCTTAGTGAGTTTTGTATGAGTCTCTAAATCCTGGAGATTGGAAAAAAATTGTTTTATGTGATAAACTGCTTTATTTTAACTTCTAGACAAGTTTGTTGACTCCCAAGTGAAAGTGTTTTGAGAATATCAGATTCACTTTGGAGAGTTTTAGAAAACAGGTTCCCCAAGAGAAAACTCATCACTGAACCCCCTTAGAAACTAACATGCCTTTCAGAAAGTGCTATCGAAAAGCCACTTGGCACCTTTTGATATACAGCATGGGATTCATATATTTTTGGTTAACCCTAGGTGGCAATACAATATGCTTACCGCTGTGCAAAGAAATTTGGAAGAGGGGCTGAAACAATTTTGCTGCATTTTGGTCTTGAGGGGCAGAAAGGAAATCAGGGCTGCTAGCCAAAAAATAAATATCATGATTAATCAACCACACTTTCATTGAAGAATGGTTGTGTCTAAAATTAAAAATAAAAGGTTGGCCAGCTTCTTTAAGAATATATTTCTAATTTACTAATGCTATTCTTTGAGCAGTTTTGTTAGAAACATACGTTTTAAAATAGGCTGTGACAACACGTGCATGTTGCATCTTGTTTAATATGTGAATGGATAGATACTGGGACAGAACTCTCCACTCCTTTTCCAAAGGAGAAAACCTCATACTTCCTGTTCTTAAAGATGAAAAAGGTGACTGACATCATTTATGGCTTTAGAATCTTCTTGTCATGTGGTGGTATAAATTTGGTAAAATATAGGATCATCCTTCTGGAGACTATAAAAATTCAGATAGTAAAACATTTCATTGCAGTTTAAGTGATTATTTAAAGAAGCATTGGTACGCGGAAAAAGTCTTTTGTGTTATCCAACTCTTTTGTCTATACTATCCTTTTAAATTTGTTTTGAGACAGTGTTTCAGAATAAAAAATTTGGAAGGCCTCTAAAATCAACTTGAATGTTAAATAGTCTTTTACCTACCTAAGGCCTAACTATAGGGAAACTATTTTTTGTGTGTCAAATGGTGTTTTTTACTACTTCCTAAATTTAATTGTACATACTTTCTAATTTAGTTGGTGTCCCAAATAAAGGAAAAGTAGATTTTTGTTATTCAAAATGAAATCATGCTAAATAGAACAAATATTTATCAAATTGGAAGCCAAAAGTGGAAATTAACACTGTTTATAGAGTATAAAACATGTATAACAATACTAAAATTACAAATTAGGCTCTGAAATTTTTAGCAAGAATAGTTACTAGCAGGATTTTGTTTCATTACTGCTTTATGTAAAACTAGTCAACCATACTTTCATTTTTTGTTTCATTCTCTTGACTCTTAGTTATTCATATCTCTCCGTTCCCTCACTACTAAATGTATTAAATAGTCAGCAAGGTTACCACAGTTTGTTGCACAGATTACCAATGACTACTAAAAATTGTATTTCTGTAACAATCTAAAAATGAAATTAATCGAACAGCTTCATGTTTTGTAAAATAACCACAAAGCATCAAAAAATAATGGAATACTTAGGAGTAAGTTTAATACAAAAAAGTGAAAAACTTGTGGACTGCAAACAAAATGTTGAGAGAAATTAAAGGTCAATGAGTGGAAAGGAATTCTATATTCAAGGATTGTAAAACTTAATATTCTTTTTTTTTTTTTTTTTT